CTGGTGGACACTAGAGAGAATGCAGCTTTAACACATGATGCTTTGACTTCACCTTAAAGAACCGGAGGTTGCCGTTTGGTTCAATCCAGATTGAAGACGGTGAATCTAATTTTGGACCGGGTCGTCTCTGACTGGTTATCTTGGATTGTGAATGTGTCTCCAGTGGACTTTTCTCTGCTATGCTGCATTACCGAAACAGTGAAAAGAGTTGAGAGAAACAACACAGTTTAATTTGTAGTTTAAAGCCGAGACTGTGTCAACGTCTCGGTGCTTTTACCAAACATTGCATTGGGATGGAAGATATTATTTGGAACAACATACTTTTAGCACTGTTGAGCCTGAGCTTGAAATTAGCCAACTGGTTGTCAGACATTTGAAAAAAGCAATAAAAACACGTGTATCTCCAACCCAGCGGAGTGAAACATTCGTACATTTGATACGTCTAGCCTTAAAATATCTGAACCAAAAATCAGTTTCATTTGAACATTTCTAGATACGTGTACATCAATGTTATCTTCAGGTTCACTCAAAGATGGTTCAAACAAACGTTTGACCCCTCCCCCCCCCCCCCCCGACGCAGACTTCGATTAAACAACTAATGTAATCCTGGAGAAAATAAGTTCCCTTTAAAATAGAGTTGACAAGAACTTTCATTGTTCATTGATGGTCATTTTTTAGGAGACCATGCTGGTATCTGAAATCTCTCCTGTGGAACGATATCCTCGCGTCGCACTGATGTCCGTTGTGTTTCCCGGGTAACACATTGCCACAGACACAGATATGTCTTCTGTTAAAAACGTCCAGTTTAAAATGTGACATTTTACGCACCGTCTCCGTAGTGTCACGAGATATTTTACACGTTCTTTATTGTACCTTCTTGTTCTCTACAACCTGTCGAGCTGAGACCACTAACCAGGACCTGCCTGTGATCAAACCTGTAGGGATTCAGCTTCCTTTGACAGTAAAACCTTTTTATTTCTTCTGTGTCTTCTTTCACCAGTTTAGACCTTCGTGTCCACGACGGACCGTTTAGCTGAATCCTAAAAAGGGAAACTCTCAGTTATAGCATGCCATCCGAGGCCACACCCTCCTAAAGTGGCTCTTGTTTTAGCAAACACGACCAAACAACCAAACTAAAACGTTCTGCCCCCCCCCTTCGTAATCTTCTGTGGAATTCACAAGGATAATGTAGAGAAGCCGCCCTCTGAGCCACAGCTGAAGGGTTATAATCTGTTCTGTGATTATATAATTAGCTATTTGTGTTGCTGTAAATACTTTCTGTTGGTTTTCTGCCAAACTGTGACTGATTCAGACCTCAGTATGGAGGTCTTCTAAATGCATTTCTTCTGTCTTTATCTGATTGAAGAAGGCTGAGTAAGTTACCATCTAAATCTACTTATATCTCAGAAGGTCAATATTTTGTCAGTTGGTATGAAGTTACTCTTATGAAACCCGGTACAAACACTTTGAACAGTGAGAACCATTGACTTCCATCATGCTCTGAATTGTGAGACAACAGTGTCCATCAACATAACATTAAAAATGTAAGCAGTTATACTCTGAGATTCTCATCCACTAAGTATTCTTTGGATTCCGTCCGCTGTGATGTGCTTGTTCTTTGGGAACTTTTATGGGGTGAAGCTGCGCAGGCTGGAAATGCTTGAAATGGACCAAAAGTTACTAAATGAACATCATGCTGTATTGAAGAAGACTTGAAACTAGAGATTGAGACCATAAACTCATGTTTACAATGTTTACTGAGGTAATAAATCAAGAGAGAAGTAGAGTCATTTTCTCATAGACTTCTATACAACCAGAGGAGTCGCCCCCTGGTGGACACTAGAGAGAATGCAGCTTTAACACATGATCTCATGGTGGTTTCCTTTTCTGTATCCAGTGTAGTATGTAAGCATGCTGGAATTAGCTGGCTAACTAGTGGTGCTAATGCTACACTGGTAGCAGAAAACGACCCTAACAGCAGGCTTGTGACCAGCAGCACCTCACTCCCCCGCCCGCCGCCCCAGAGGAGGACAAGCTAACAAGCTAACTAGCTAACTAACCAGCCATCGTCTGCGTCCGATCTCTTCCCAGCGAGCGCTAACACTTTACAGCCCCTCTGAACGTGTTGTCACCTTAACAAACTAACAACAGTCACTTTCTTTTGACCACAGAGAAGAGTTTAAGACTCTTAAATGATATGTAGTCATTATTCATGTGAGTTCAACACATATCAAAACACCCATTTAATAAATGATCCTCCACGTCTTGGACGTCTCCAGTGTGGACTGGCGGTTGAGGTCAGACATACCTGGACGGTGAAGTCACTAATGTTTCCGTTTGTTAGCCTTGGAGACCGATCAGTGACCCTGAACCAGGACTGCCTGTTTGTTTAAAGCTGAATCAATAATCAAAACGTTCCCCTGCTTGTAAAGATTTACAAAATGCTGTCAGTGTAAGTGTGGACGTTCATCCTTTCGCTGTTCCTTTGTTTACTTTGTGCAAGATGTCAAGATGCTGAGTCAGCAAGAAACCAGCCGATAAAAGCAGCAGAGCTCTGTAATGTCTAACTGTGTGTTGTTTAGTAATATTTTCCACTGGCGTCTGTTCCTGGCTATTAGCTTAAATGAGCTCAACGTCACACAGTGATCCTGTTGTGGTTGAGTTTAGTGTGTGTGTGTGTGTGTGTGTGTGTAATGAGGTACTGAGAGATACAGGCTGTGTAATCGGCTTCTGTTGTTGCTGGAAATCTTTTCTGCGTTTCTCTGCGACAGCATTCACAACTCACTCGCAGCCTCCGATGGGACCGCATTCCTCAAATCCACAAGGAAACATTACTGCACCGTTATGAAAGAGCAGAGACTCAAACTCAACATTTTAATACTGTTGTTGTTCTCTCAGCACTGCCTTCTCTGGCAGACACACAACATTATAATTGACGTAAACGACAAACACAAAACAATACAAAAAGAACAAAGAGAAAGGCTCCCCCTCAACAATCAGGGAAGGTTTTCACACACTTTGAAAAAGATTTCAAACATTTCCTGCCTCTCTTCCAGTTGATATATCGAGCATCTGTGTCTGTGTTTATAGTGGAATACTGACAGAGTGAAGAAAGTGGAGAAGTTGATTTTGGACAGTGCTGGAGTGAAGTGCATGGACTCGATTAACAAACACCTGAACAGATGGAACCCAGTCGCCAGGCTTTTTGCTGTTACTGTAACTGATAAGGAAGGAAGGACTTTTTGTTAAAACTTTGTCATGCGAGGCCAAATGTTCTTGAAATACACATCAGCGTGTAATTGGCCACTACGAGATATCAGTAAGGCTCTGCACCAATGTGGCTAAGGCACATTGCTAAGATAGCTAAGACGTAAGAAAGAAAGACGAACAACACCCAGACGAGAAAGAAAAGAGGGAACAAATAAACCAGAACGGTGCATTTCACCGTCTGGTTGGCTGCAAACAAGCAAAACAGTCTCCAGACACATAAACACACACCAATAGTCCGTGTTGACCAGAACACACTGGAGGGGTAAAGATGTCTGGATCAACAGTTGGGTCTGCAGCCTAAAGCTCACAGCAAACCTCTCTCGAGCTCTTTGAACTCACTTTCTTTTCTCGGCACGCGTGTGCTGCTTTATAGGAGTGGTTTCTGTGGCAAAAAAAAGGTCTTTGAACACAACTTTGTGAGGTTTGGCTGTGAAGGAACAGTCTGTGGTTTGTCCTTGTGGAGCGCTGGCAGAGAAAATAAACTTAGTGAGTTCCTCAGACACACTTTGGGAAACAGAATACTAAATCCTTCTGTGCATGATGTAGAGATGACTGCGATATTTGATTGTTGCTGGTTTTAAGCTTGTGTTTACTCTGCACTCACTACAAGTAGCTCCGGGAAGATTCAGCTCTATGTCACCTAAAATGCAAATAGTAAACTAAAAGATCCACGGTGACTTAGCGGCTGATCGCACCGAGACGCGTCGCAACGGACGTTTCATAAAACGCCTCTTGACAGAAACAGATGGTGAGCGTTGTGGAGTGGGGGTGCGTGCACAACCAGGCGAACAAACATAATTAACGGGGACTAATGAATTCAAGTCCAGACGGATCCACCTGGCTGCTCACACAACGCCATGCATGTGTTCTCAGATGAGTGTTTGAATAATAAGGTGAGCTTCAGTCATGTCAATGACAATATCAACCTGTCGTCCGTATTTGACTTTGTCCGTTCCTACCACATGTACCGGCATCAAACCAGGAAGTAGGCTGTAAAGTAGTAAAGCCCGCCTCTTGCTAGATGTGATTGGCTGCGTTGGTCAAGTTGAAGATATTTAAACTTTTTTGCACGCCGCACCGAACCGAAAGAAAAACAACGGTTTTGCCGGCGACGCGTCTCGGAGTGATCGGAGCCTCAAGCTGACTTTTTTTCCAAGTGAGAATAATTAATAATGGTTCAACTCGCAGCCACAGCTAAATACTGAATGGACATCATCAACAAAAACACAAAATAAACACATGACAAAAACAGAATATCATAATATAAGCTACACAAAACAGCTTTCCCGTCACGGCACAGAACAGTACAGGCAGAGTCCATTCCTTCAGTCCTTCTTTTCTTTCACAGCAGATTCATCTCCAACCAAAAGCTTCGGGATGTGTGGAGAGCATGATGGTGGATCTGTTGACACTGAAGAATCCAACTGTGAAGACTTTCAGATTAAATAATGTCAACAGAAACATATTCAGACAGCTTTTACTGTCGTCAACCTATCTGCAAAGTTATTGCATTTCTTTATGTGACCATCATCAGTCTTGCGGCAGTTTGTGAACAGTGTCCCACACTGTGCAAGTTCTCGTTGTAGTCCCCACGGAGCCGTTGGAGTTGGTTGAAAAACCCATTTTTAATACTGAATCGTGTGGTCGTCTCACATCTGCATCACTGGTTTCATTTAAACCACTTCCTCTGGTTCGGTAGCCCAAACGCTGATGGGGCCCTTTTTCTCCAGACGGTACCTCCCAAATCCAGCAAAAGGATTTCACCATATTCACATAGTTTCTTTTAAACAAACACAGATAGAAAACAAAGAGCCACTGGTTACAGATGTGTCAATGCAAAAAAAGGCACTTCCGTTTTCAGTCAGCTACTAAGACCCTTCTAGTCGATTGCACTTAGTTTAATCACTTGTTTAGGTTTCACCACCATCTCGATGACTTTAAACCATCCTGATCACGGTCCCACAGTGGTTCAGCACATTTCAAATATCCTGTAATCATTCAGTGTCTCTAAAATAGATGATCCAGTCAACCAAAGGATAGTAAGTGCCACTTTTCAACTTGTGGATATCTGATATTGGAATGAAAATTGTAATTTTAACCACCATAGCAGGATTTCTCAAATCCGGATGAGCTCACTGCCTCCAATGTCGTTACAAGTGTTTGCAGTTCATTGCATCTTAGAAATAAGATGGCTTTAAGGATGATAGATTGTTATTTGATGGACAGTGTCCTTGCATCAAGGGGAATTCATAGTCCAAACCCCCATTCTGTTGCAAAGATGGAGGCGGCTGAGAAGTGTGACAGCGGTCAATCTCAGGCTGTTTGTGGGGTAATGTACTATTTCCCCCATTCTCCAGGCAGGCCTTTATCCCCTCCAGCTCCATGGGATCAGGATCTGCCGGGCCCAGCTCCAGCTCCATTCCTGCCTTGGACTGCCTCCTCCTTCGGACACAGATAATTGCGCCAGCTACCACGGCCAAACCCATCACCAGTGCCAGTGCAGCCATGGCGAGGATGAGCGTGTACGTCAGCGGGCTCTGTGTCTCCACCCTGGACTCCGAGGACGACAGGGGAAGCCCTTCGGTGCGAGCCTCCGTACACGACCCTGTTTCTACAGAGCTGTTGGCCCTTGAGTTGACTCTTTCACCCAGGGGGCTGGCACAGACAGAGTAGGTACAGTTGGGTCTCAACCCACGCAAAGTGTACTCGGGGTAGGATGCCGGTACACTCAGGATAATGGGGCGGCGGTCAGGCCCTGAGAGGTTACGGTAGGTCAACCTGATGCCACGGATGTGTGGCCGTGTCTCGATGAAGCGGTGCAGGTCAAGAAGGATGGAAGTGGAGGTCACCTGCCGAGAGCTGATAGCATCAAGCTCAGCCGGCACCGCAGGGGCAGCCAGCAAAACCTCTGCTGCTGAAGGCTTCGGTGTCTCAGGAACATCATCCACATTTTCACAGTAGAGGCCAGAGGTTCCCGACGGACACAGACAGCTGAGTTGACCCAGCGGATCAAAATTACAAGTGCCCCCATTGAGGCAGATGTTTGGTGGGCAGATGTGCTCACCTAGATCCCTGCTGGTGGAGCTTGGGGAGACTGGAGGTCCTGGTGAAAGGGCGCTGACCGTCTTTGAGGAGACGGTTGCCTCACTGGGTGGAGGAGGAGGAGGGGGAATAGCGTTGGTATGGATGGTCTCTGGAGATGTGGTGGGAATCTGGGGAACCGGAGTACTTCCAATGGGGAAGCCAATCAGCACTGTTGTGGTAGGTTGACACCCAAAATCTTTGTGCTCGAGCGCTGAAAGCATTTTCCCAGCATTAACTAGAGGGAAGTGACATCTGGTTTCCTCAGGCCTACCGAGATTCACATCCTTATCCTTTAGCCAAACTGGGAACCAGGCTAATGGACACAAGCAGTTAAATGGGTTCTCAGCTGCAGTCAGGTGCATCAACCTTGGGAAGGTCTGGAAGAAACTCTGGGAAAATCCCTGGAGATTAAGTCCACTGAGATCCAGTTCTTGAAGCCCACTCAGTTTCTGGAAGTCCTCCACCCTGAGCTCGCCCAATGGGTTGGTAGCCAGGCTGAGCTTGATCAGCCCCTTGAGGGAGTCCTGCTTCAGGGCCTGGGGCACCTCAGTTAACTGGTTTGTGGAGATGTCAAGCTCATGGAGGTTCCCCAGAGAAGCTATGAGACCCTCATCCACAGCAGTAAGCCCCAGCGAGGCCACCTTAAGGGCCTCCAAGTGGGGAGTCTGAAGGTCTGAGGGTCCCAGGGTTGGGATGTTGTTGTAGCTGAGGTCTAGAAGCAGAAGTCTCAGGAAACTAAGGGATGGCAGAGAGGTGAGCTGGTTTCCTTGGAGCTTAAGTTCCAGTAGCATCTCCAAACCTTCAAAAGCTTCCGAATGGATGCTCTGAATGCGGTTTGCGTGGAGATACAGCCTCTCCAGCTGGACCAACCCAGAAAAACTGTCTTTGGAAATGTGGGCAATGTGGTTAGAGGACAGGTCTAAGTTCTTCAGCTTTGACAGCATCTCAAACACACCATCTGGAATCTCTGCCAGCTCATTCTGGCTCAGATCCAGCAACTCTAACTCCCCCAGGCCTTTGAAGTCGTCTTGGGTCAAAGTGTTGATGCCGTTCTGGAAAATGTATAGATTTTGCGTGGTGGTGGGGACACGAGGCACGACGCTGGAGCGCCGCTGAATGCAGAATATGGAGTCCTGTCCCTGGCAGGAACAGTCGGCCGGGCAGTCGGAGGATGACACCAGACCAGATGAGAGGAAGAAGAGCAGGAAGTAAGGCAGCATGGTGTCAGCTCTTAATCTCTGAAAGACAGAAGAGACAGGAAATGGTTGCTGGTAATCACCATTCGCTTAACAAGCAGGTCACAGTTAAAGAGGGAGGCTTTACAGCAAGAAACAAATTGGGACATAAAATAGGCTGTAAATAGTTTTACTCTTAACAATGTCTGAGGAAGAAATTGAAGTTATGCAAGAAGTCTTTTCTGAATGTAATTCCTAAACCCTTAATTCTATTTGCTCATAATGAATGCCTGAGGATTTTGTCTTTATCCCTTCCACAAACACACACTCACATTCAAAGCATGCAAGCACACTTTACCCAACAAACCTTCGCTTCCACACATAGTGAATATTCTGTTTCTAAATCCTTGATGAGCAGACACCCCAAGGGATCAGGAACCCAGAGGCCGAGGCCACGGGTTAACACAGCCCCCCCAGGGCGACCCCTCCTGGAGGTCAGTGAGGAACCCCGTCAGCCTCCTCCGTGTGTTTACGACATGGTCTTTTGCCTGTGAAACGGAGTGTGCAGTAAAGCAGCCCGACACCCGCAGCACCACACGGCTACATACAAACACATCCAAGGTAAATACACTATGCTGCGAGTGTGTTGACACACACACATACACACACAATGTGCCTCCGTTCCCTTTCTGCCCTCTCTCTTCTGCATTCGTTCCCCTCTCCTCATGACACACCAGGTCAGAGCCCGTCAGCCGGCAGGAATTTGCAATATTCTCTCAAAATCTGTCTTTATTAAGCGCAAAGGGAAGACGGGGGGGAAGGAAAGGAAGTAAGTGGAGGAAACAGAAAAGTGACTGTTGACAGAGAGAGCATTGACATCTTCGTGGCAAACACAAGGTTTAATAACCAAATTAGGGACTTTAACACAAACCAGAAGTTTTAGAGATCAAACCTCTAATAAACAATAAGCCAAAGTGAAAAATAAGATCTGCTACTGACACAACACAGTGTGGAACAAATCTCTCTATCTGCCTCATCTTGTTGTAAACCACAGAGTGATGTCTGATCTCTGACAGGCTCTCGGGTTTTATAAATCGGCTTCCGAGTACGACTTGGTTTCCGCAGAGACTTGTTGGTGCAGTCGCTGTTTCTGTTTCTGGGCCAACACTTGAACGTGAATCCTGCTCGTACGACCAAGACTTCAGTCAAACGTTCAGCAGATGAATGAGAAAGCAGCCGTTTAGTCAAAATCCCTCTGCATGGTGAAGCCCAGACATCCAAGTGACAAACATTCTGGATTAATATCCAATGTGCAGAATCAGAATCAGATCTTTCTCACGTCTTCTACTACAATTCAACTGAATTTAAAATAACCGAGACACTCTAGTGTTTGTGAAGTGTTACGTCTACGAGAACATAAAGAAAATATCTGTCATCCTTTTGTTAACGTCACATCAGCCAGAAGAAAAGGAGCTGTTATCATCACCATTATTCTCAGGGGTTGCCGCCACAAAGAGGCGTTTCACTGCTTTTGTTTGTGGTCCATGTCTAAGCTTAGAGAGCAGCTCTTCTCCGACAACAGGACAATAATAATATAATCAGAGCTGCTCGTCGTTCCCTTCAGGGTGCAGCTGACTCTGACTGAATGATCTGATGACTGAGGAATGAATGGAATATGGATGAACGAGTCGAGAGAAGAGAAACTACTCATGCACACATCTGGATATATTCTATCCCAAGTAAACGGTGCAGCTCTGCTGTTCCTGAACACTTAGTGTCTGGGTGGTCAGGTAGAAACAAACCACAACCGCAGAGGATCAGGATTCAAACCTGCTGCTGAAGCCTCCCTGTTTAACAAACTCAATGCCTTCACCCTTCAGCGCTGTTAGTCTGGAGCTGAACCTGACCTCTGACCTCCCAGCGGGTCGGGCTGAGACAGAAGGTCAGTTTCAGGCCCGGTCTACATGTATATATAGACATTTTATTAAACTTCTCCTCGATGTTTAGGCCTCTCGTCTGAACACAAAACGCATATTCTGCAAAACATCCTCTCAGGTTTTAGATTTTTGAAAGCGTCGGTTACTCCGTATCAGTGTGGACGTGTGGGTTGGGAGACGATGACGTCATCTCTCGCCCGTTGTCGTTTTCTCCAATGAGCCACAGAAAACGATGGCGGACTAGCGGAGTGTTTGTGTGTCAGTGTTATTTGGTCCGCCTCAGCTTTACCATCATTCACTGTTAGTTAGCACGTCAGAGGAAGATGAGCTCACTGAGCATGCTCAGAATCTTCTTCTCTGGTATTTGACGGATCATTGACGTCGCCGTCATCAGCACCTCCCAACCCGGCGAACGTTTTGAGATGTTTTCTTAAAACGAAGGCAGACATCATTTTATCTTAATAAGTAGAGGAAAGAATATCTGTGTGTGTAGACAGAGTTGATGGAGTCTTTAGGAGTCTGTTTACATCCAGGACTACAGTCTGCATGTCGTCCAGTCCGTGATGGAGTAGACGACCAGCTGATGCTCTGTGAGCTCCTTCATATAGCTTCATGGAGCATTGAGTTATTTTATTTTCATGTTCCTCGTGGAGGAACTTAAATGATGTTTTGTTAATGCTTTGTTCTTGACGAGTCCTCGTGGATGGTCGAGTGTTGATCTGTAATCACCTGCAGTGAAGACGAGGACATGTCTAAATAACTGGTGCTGTTTTAAGCCACAGAGAGCCTTTAGTCCTTTAGTCTTGACTGCCGAGTTCAGTTCTGAATCTAAATCTCTTCAGACGAGAATCAAACACACAAAACTCTAAAAGAAGTTCCGGTTAGTTCTTGAACTTCTACCGCAGCAGCTCGATGTTCTGATACACAACAAGTAACAATAATCAGTAACGTCTTCATCTTCTTCATCATCATCATATTGGGAAGCAACCAAAGCAGAACGGGTTCTCTCTTCTCCGTCATGAATTCCTGATTAGTTTTCTGCTTCATCCACTTTTCTTCTTCTTCTTTAGTACGAGCGAGGATAAGGCGGCGTGATAAAAGACAAACATCGCCGTCACCATGACACGAAACAGAACACACACACACACACACACATTCCTGCACATGTTCACACCAGCACAAACACACACACACAGCTGGATTCTGTTACCCACGATGCACTGCAGCCATCTCTCACCGTGAGACAGAGTGAAAGGCCGACATAAACCTTTGTCCTCCCCCGGTTGATAAGAGCGAGGGAGAGGGGGGGAGTTGGAGGTAAAGGGAGAGATGAAGTGTCCTCCATTCATCCTCACTCTGCTGTAAACACACAGATATGTCCTCTCACTAACTGTTACTGAAGGAGAGCAGATGAGGACCTGGATATTATTTCAGGAGGTTTGGTGGTGATTCCTAAAATCATGACGCTCAACAAACTGCTCGTGAGGTCTGAGAAGCAGCTCCGTCTCCAACGTCGCGTTCCATCAAACTAAGCTGTGTTTCAAGGGAAACAAGTTTTAAAAACGCAACTACTCGGTAATGTTCAGTAGAGCGTCGCGGTCTGAAGATATAAGTGTTTGTTCCGTTATTTAAGTTTCACAGCGGACATGAACCGAGGTCTCCGGGGTGAAAGTCCTGTGTTAGTTCGACCCGTCCGTCCACTCTTACCTCCTCCCCACGTTAACGCCGACTGCGGCAAGAAATGTCTTTGTTATACGTCAATAAACAAACATGCAGACTCGTCGTTTTTCTGAGCAGCCAGAGATGAAGTCAGAGCATTTAGTCTGTAAAGCAGGTGCTGCTGTGCGTGTTCACACAGTTCTACTTGTTAGATGATGAACTGCGGAGAAACACTTCAGTAGAAGTTGCTCTTCTGAAGATCCCAAGCATCCCGCTCACTATCACACATAATGTATTAATGCTGCTGCTGCAGCAGTGAAACGCTGTCATCTCTCGTTTCACTGCTTTGGGTTTTCTCTCCCTTTCATTCCTGTCGGACGAGTCCGGAGGTTTCAAAGGAGAGACGTTTACCTCTTGTGGTGTAAATGTTGGTGTTCAGATTAAAGAAGCCACCAAACAGACACGAGCAGCTCTGATAGAAGAGCCACAAAGAGGCCGTTGGATCTGTGTACAGACTCACTCAGGGGTAAAGACTCACTCAGGTGTAAAGACTCACTTATGTGTAAAGACTCACTCAGGTGTAAAGACTCACTCAGATGTGACTCACTCAGGTGTAAAGACTCACTCAGGTGTAAAGACTCACTCAGATGTGACTCACTCAGGTGTAAAGACTCACTCAGGTGTGACTCACTCAGGTGTAAAGACTCACTCAGGTGTAAAGACTCACTCAGGTGTAAAGACTCACTCAGGTGTAACTAACTTAGGTGTAAAGACTCAGGTGTGACTCACTCAGGTGTAAAGACTCACTCAGGTGTGACTCACTCAGGTGTAAAGACTCACTCAGGTGTAAAGACTCACTCAGGTGTAACTCACTTAGGTGTAAAGACTCAGGTGTAAAGACTCACTCAGGTGTGACTCACTCAGGTGTAAAGACTCACTCAGGTGTGACTCACTCAGGTGTAAAGACTCACTCAGGTGTGACTCACTCAGGTGTGACTCACTCAGGTGCGACTCACTCGGGTGTAAAGACTCACTCAGGTGTGACTCACTCAGGTGTAAAGACTCAGGTGTAAAGACTCACTCAGGTGTGACTCACTCAGGTGTACAGACTCACTCAGGTGTAAAGACTCACTCAGGTGTGACTCACTCAGGTG